GCAAAGCGTTAACATACACAAAGCGAAACAAACTTTTGCTATTTTGCTACATACACACACGCATGTATATATATATATATATATATATATATATATATATATATATATATATATATATAGGAAAACATTCCACCTTCTTGGTGCTGTCACTTATTGTCATATCAGACGCGCACGGTTTGATCAATGATACTAGTTTCTCAAAATCCTTCTGATTAGCTCAGAAGTTCGATTTGAAGTAGATGGCCCTGCTGGAGAAATCTTATCTGACTTCCCGCTCACCACTAAGAAAGCAACAAACATCATGTGTCTTGCTTTTCCAACGTGCGTGTTTTATAATGTTTGCAACACGCTCACATGTCTCACTCAATGTTTATGTAATGGATGTGACGAAAGGCTGAAACGCTCCGTTTGTACGAGAAGATATGCGAACATGAAGCTACTATCCCGCAAATTCGAGGTGTTATACCATGGCGTTGAGTTCTCCCCAACGGCGTTCGCCAATACGGCTCTCTTCGAGGTGCACTTTGGTTTAGGGAATCGGAGTATCGCATGATCCATGTGACGCACTGGTTCAAACTCAACTAACCAACCTTTCGGCAACAGGCCTTTGCCCGCTGGGCCAATCACAAACGCTGCCATATTTTCGCCGGGGGAGGTGCGCCCGGTGGTTGTGAAGACGATGGTGGTCGCGACTGCAGGAAAAAAACTGGTCCGGCCCATTTTGGCCTCTAACGGGCGTAAACTGCGAATGGGGGAAAAATTCAAAATGTATTAAAACTGCGCCAGTGAAAGCACCAGTTTCATATACCACTCAAGCATGGAAACTCGGATGTCTGCAAGAACAGCGTAAAACTTATCCTGACAACCCATGCCGGAACAGGCAATCGAGACGTTGGTATCGCCTCTGGTAATGCGACCCTCCCGACCGACGGGAAAGCCACGTGATTATTCCGCCTGCACACGACACTAAATAGCCTGAGGATACGAACACGAATAGACATCTGAAAGCTGACGCGAGATGGCCGTGAGTGGGACGTCGAGCAGAGCTGGCTGGGGTAGAAACATGGTTGAAAAACCGGGGCCAATGTCTGTAAGGTTGGGACTTATGGCCTCGTGCATTACCGCTACAGATATATAGCCTTGTACTACAGTACTAGTAGATATGTATAGAGTCGGTATGGCCCAGTAAAACTATGGCGGCCAATAATGGCTTATATACTAAAATATATAGCTATCATATGATGCACAGGGCTTCAACATCTTGAAAGACTTAACTCGCAATTTATACACAGTTTGCGAAAATCAACAATCACGCAAAAGGACCATAAACTTTGCAATGAAGAACATCGTCTTGCATGCGCCCAGAATCGCCCAAGGATCTGGAAATACGTATGCACGACATGGCACATGAAAATGTTAAAAGAAGGAAGAAACCCAGCGCTGGTATGAACTGTTGACCGCGTAATCTGGACTTAAAATAAATAGAATTGATTTGCGCATACAATCCTGTCAGTGATGCAGTTTAACTCCCTAGTGGTATTTAGACTAATAACATGACCTAACAATTCATTAGCTCGTGTTTTCAAAATTTGTTGCTAATATGGGACGTTCATTATTGACATATCAGGCAACATGCATGACAGTTGGAAGGTTTGTCCATTCCGTTTTGCAACGCCTTCTGCACACCTCAACCCACATATGCTCAGGTGTGCAAAACGCATCTGTGTGGCAGTGTGAGTGCATGCTATTGTTTTAATCGTGTCATTTATGTCCCGTGAATAATGTCCCTCGGCTGCGAAGTGCGCAGTGACGCGCCTGTGGACTATGTCTACTGCGCGGGGGACCTTCAGCAGAATCACGCAGCTGCACAGCCAAGCCATGGCCAGCGGCATGCCGACGAACTTCAGGGCTTTACCGACGAAATCCGCCAGTTTGAGGCGGGTCACATTTTGGGAGCAAATCCGCCAGCTTGCGGCGGGTCACATTCGGGAGCATTCTATCGCCTGAGTCTCGGGCTATTGTCATGTTTACATCCTCTCACCTCCTCTTCACCACCTCTCACTTGATTTAGGAGACAGCGTGCTGCTTTCAAGATCGGTTTCGAATAACGCTGCATTGATTGTATCACGATCGATTGCTGACATTCCTACGGATGGGACGATATTGGGGAGGCGGCTTGAGACGACGGAAATGTTCGCTACGAAACCTTCGAAGGTCGTGGCAGATGGCGTTTATGAAGATCAGATCCGTCACGCCATCCTGCCAATTCATTGTACACACGTAGACTCATAATTCATCGCGTCTTGCTAAAAAAGCCTCCTGTGCGCAACGTCCATTTCATTGTGCGCATTTGGCGTGGACACAAAGCAAACAGAGGAGGGGGGGGGGGGGGAGAACGGCGGAGAGCACAACTATAGCACGCTCCGCCCTAGCCTGATTCGGCCACCTGAGACACAGATGGCTGCGCGTCGTCATCAGCTTCCGCGTATCCCGTTTGCCCTGCGTGGAGTATTTTTCCATCAGCAGCTTCGTGAGGTGGTCGACGACACCAATGTCTCTGTCCATGCCTCGGCCCATCACCAGCTGAAATGGCCTCGAAAGCCTCGACAACGTTCATCCAGGCAGGGGACGGTGGCATTAGACCACTCCGACTGATCGTGTGTATCCAGCCGTCTGGCGCACAGCTGGGTGGCGCCTCTCGGGTCGACAGCCCCATGCTTAGATCAAGATGTTTGCGCGTGGCCACCACGTACTTGGCAACGCAGGCCAGCGCCTCGTTCTCGATGTTAATCTCGTACACCCCGTCACCGCAGCGGGGGCTATTTTCGTGCTCCTCGTCATCACTGCCACGGGCCTGTCCTCGCTCGACTCGTTGACCTCGTCGTCCTCGTCGACTTTGTTCAGGGCGGGCGCCGGAGGCATCGCGGCTGCTTGCTGGTAAGCGATCTTCATGTCGTCCGCATGCGCTGCCGCTTCCACCACAGCTGGATCTTGGATCTGCGACACAATAGAACGCGATCATTTCGACGTACGTAACAAGCACGTTTATCAGAACCCATTTTTAAATTCACTTATTTTCTTTTATCGCCGACAGCAGCGCTCCCCTAACAGGTGAAGTCGTTTAGACAACATGCAACAGATTTACAGCAAACAATAACATGCGCATAAGGCATGGCAGGCCTCAAAGTTGAGTAAAGATGTTACAGAGTTAAAACACACTTGATCACTTGAGAACGTCGGCCCCCAGAAAGACATGGCAAGTGGATAGTATAAAGCGAAAGGTTAAGGACGGGGGGGGATGGGGCATAGCTGGGAGCGGGATTGTGTGGTGTGTATGATGAGGTGCGCCCGCCGCCTCGCTGGGCGCGCCTCTGCGCGGCGGCTCGACCTTGACCAACCTTGACCGTGCGACTCGGAGGGACGGCGCAGAAAACCAGACAGAACCGCAATCGATTATAACCGCACGCGCAGACGTCGCTGCTGTCGACGGGCGCCTCGGCCCACCTCTTCCCGCACGCTGAGCCGTCGGCGCTGCCGGCGCCCGAGTTCAACACGACGCTGCGCCTGGCCGGCCGCATCCGCCGGCTGGAGCAGCACGAGCCCGACTTGAGCTGGCTAGAGGGGCGGCGACTGCGCCAGTGTTCCTGCGCCATCCAGCAGCTGCGCGATGCGGCCAGCAGCCGGCTCAGCTATGGCCGCTGCGAGTTTCAGTACGGCAATTTAGCATCCATCGAAGTCGGCTGCAACCGGTGAGTGAGGACGATTACACGGATAGGGCTCTCAGATACGGTGGCGAGCTCAGTCTGAGCATCGTAGTCAGGAATGATGCAACTGATTTTCATGTCTGACGAGGTGGTGCTCGGAACGCCAAAGAAGCACTCGGCGTAGGGAATTATGTTTGACTTCGGAAGCGCCAGATGGGCTCAAATCTGCCCTCCCGTGTTACAAGTTTATTTTGTGCATCAAAGCTACCACCGTCCGAGGAACTTACCCCAAGCGAATCCATCGAAACTCTGGACCCTAGTTGGCGTTTGGATTGGCCCCGTGTAATATTGTCTGCTCTCACAGCCCGACCAAACGCTAAGTCAGGTGTTGCCGTGAGTATTGGCCAATATCTCGGTAATAACAACAATAGCAATAATATAACGACCGAGGCGTCCGAACACGTCGCGCCCCCGCCACGCGCCACCACCCAAGGCCAACTCTCTCGCGCAACTTCCACTTGCTTGGCGCGTGGCCGCCCTAAACAACTGTCATACACCACACCCCGGTCAGGCAAACCACCCGACGGGACAAAATGGTCATATCGATGCATCCTCGGAAGGTGCACAGAAGGGAGTGCAGGATAATCTCCCACCTTCCTGGCTGAGGTACGTCTGAAGGGGCGGTCGGGTGTAACAAAGTGAGAAGCCAACGTACCCGAAGCATCTCCTCCCGGGCTCCCGACCCGGGCCTGGCCAGGCGCATTTGTACGGCTCCATAGTTGCATAATACAAAGGGTCGGTTCGGTTGGTTTGCTCGTTGGTTTGCCCCACCTTTGCCCGGCAAATACCGGATAAGACTTACTCGAGCCTAAAATCAGTGCAGGCTAAGAGCGCACCACCATCCACGTTCATAAGCCTTCGGCTTTTCATATTAAATGCATCGTATCAATGAACAATGATATTCCTCGTTTGACAAAAGGTTTTAGTTATACGAACGTCGACCACGCAATGACATTTTGTCAACGCGGAAGCAGGATCAGATGCACCCAAGCGGTTCTATGGTCTCCACCGCCGGTTTCAGCACCTGGAGTACCGCATGGATGATGCCGGTATCGAACTAGAACTTCGAAGCTACGTATCCATCTAGCTAGCATGCAATTTGAAGGTAGGGGACATTCATGACATGCTGAACGAATGCATGGGTCTTCCGGCTGACGGAGACCAGTGCGACAGTACTGGCGACACCCAGTCCCTCTATCGACCCTTGGCCAGTCGACGCTGGCTGAGTTGCTAAGTTCAGTGACTGAGTTGCTGTTGGCTGAAGATGCCCTCGGTCTGGACGTGCTGCAGGTCCCGAGCATTCCGCAGGAGCTGGCACACCTGGCGCAGCGGGCGGGCGACCCCCGACGACAGTCCAGACGGTTAGTTTGGTGCTGGACGTGAGGCCTCATCCGTCGAAAATCGGACGGGCTTGCTCGTGTCCCGGTGATGAATTCAGGCCTCAGAATGACAAATGCTCCAACAATTAAAACACTAAGCAGGGGCTGTCTGGCTGTTGGGGGCCCAAACAGTGCGTAGCTTTTCCCCACCCGCCATATTTGTTAAATATCCTGCACATGCACCAGAAGAGCAGCCAAACGCTCTCCCCTCCAAAGAAGACTCATCCGGCCACACAATTTCTAGAACTGAATTGACACATACTGAGACTAAGTGCTCAAATACTGGTATGGACAATTTTGAATTAGGCTTTCATAGTACGGCTAGGTCGTGCTGTGTTTAAATGAAGCTCGCACAGCGCTAACATGTGACTCTGAGTGAGAGTTGAACATCTAGACCTGCTAAGGTGACACAAAATGAAACTAAATGGAAGCTGAAGACATGCTGCGTTGTGGTCGCCCGACCAACGCAGAAGGCCCTCTGGCATTTAGCTTCCGTCACTGTCCCTGTTCCGTAAATGTTCATCTGACCGACTCGGGGTCCCTTGTCGACACAAGACCCCTGCTGGCACTTTGGACTCCTGAAAGACACCCCATTGTTTCAGAGACCCCGACGGGTGCAAATTGCTGGCACGGTCTTGCTCGTGGTTGGGAAATGATCACCAGGGTTCAGAACGGCATGGAGCCGACTGATCGGTACTGGCGGTCTCTGACCGAAGTAAAAACCCGCACTGTCCCACGGATCCACAATCAATGCAAAAGGCCCTCTGGTTGACTTTTGAGGTCACGACCCTACTTGCGGGGACGTCTTTATTGCGACATACTGCCAGTCCCTCAGGCCCTTCGGCCCTTCAGCCCTCCAAATGATCATCTGATCTTTGGTCCCTTCGGCCCTTCTTCGGGCCTCCTCAGACAAAGCCCGTGACGGACTCGGGGTCACTTGCTGACACATGACCCCCTGGTGAGCGCTATGAGTCCATGACCGACACAGGGCCCCCGATCATTGTTTCAGTGACCGATACCAATGCAAATGGCCGGCCCCGGTCTTGCTTTTGCTTGGAAAATGGGCTCCCAGGGTTCAGACCGACAGGGAGCCAACCGTTTAGTGGTGGTGCTTTCTGACGAGCATAGACACCTGCATTGTCTCAGTGGGTCCTTAGTCGGTGTCAAACGCCCTCTGCATGATATTTCCGGTCATTGCTCTGCGGGCCAGGATCCTTAATGTGACCTACAGCCAGCCTTCGGGCCCATACGCCCTCCAACCTGGTTCTTGATCGTCGGTTTCGGTGAGCACCCGGACCCGTCCTCGGCCCTAATTGAACACTGCTCTTTATCTCTCGGGACCCCTAGCCAACACAGGACCCTATGGTAGGCACCGTGGGCTCCTGACAGATGTAGGGGCCCCAGCCAGTGTGATTCGTTAGCCCCAGCTTTGTCGCTGCTTTGGAATTGGGCCCTCAGGCATATACCAACACGGAGCCGACCACGACGCATTGATGGTGCCTGACTGACGTCCGACATATACGGCCTTATAGGCTCAGGAGTACCCCGAAAGGCGCAAAGAACCCTCTGGCTATCATCTTTGAGCCCAAGCAATGGGGCAGGAAGGGATCCTTGAAGAAGACTCCGCCTAACACTTTGTGCCCTCAGGCCCCCCAATAATGTCCCGTGATCTTCGGCCCGGTGGACCCTCCTGGCCCCTCGGAACCTAAGAAGGAGGAAAGGGTTCGTGCCCCCTGTGGTCCCCCAACCTTCTGCCTGCGCCACTGGCACTACATTTGGTACAATTTATCTACTGCGTGGTATTCCACGCAGAGAAATGATGGAAAATGCTCCACGGCTGCTTCTTCTTTCCGAGACAAAGACCACACTAATCTACCATACACTGCGTGATGCATAACATCCTTCGTCACGAAGGAGTGACTGACTTTTCGAAATAACATTACCTTCGATATTTTCAATAGCAATGGTTCTGGCGTTACATTTTCGTGGCGTTGGTGCTGTGCAACGTTTGACATCGGTCTCCACCTTGAAGGTTGATCTTGCGAGATAAACTCGGTAAAAAGCAAAAATAAGTCTATTTTGATACCAAATGGAATTTGCCATGAATATACGCCTGTTACTCGAATTATTCCCGTTTGATGATATATTAATGCCCCTTGATGACATCCAGATGCTCTTGCATTGTTTTAGTGCGGGCACAGCACATTTTGTCACCTTCGCGCTAAAATTGTAATCTCTGGCTTACCGCCGGAGCCACGCAAAAATCACGCGGCTGAAGCGTTGGATAAGGGGCCACTGCTGCAGTGGGGGTGTCGGTCGTCGGGTTCGTGTTGTTTTTCCACGGTTCTTCAGTTTTCCAGGGGCTTACCGTCGTGTTCACGCGTTGCTTGTGCCGAGTGCGACAGGGCATTCGCTTGGGCGTAGTGAATATCGCGACTCAGTAGTGCTGTGGAGCTACGAGGACCATGTGCAGGTAGTCTGAAGACCGGCCTGCCTAAACAGCCTGAACGAGGGATTTTAAAGCTTCTGTGATAAGCTGGAAACAATACTGCAATGGCTGGTGTGCTCTTTGAAGACATTTTTGATGTGAAAGACATTGACCCAGAGGGCAAGAAATTTGAGAGGGTGAGCCGACTGCACTGTGAATCTGAATCATTCAAGATGGACCTGATCCTTGATGTCAACGTGTGGGTTTACCCCATGGAGCTGGGAGACAAGTTCCGACTTGTGCTGGCCAAGACACTGAAAGAAGATGGATACCCCATGGATGGAGAGTTCAATGCGTCTGACACCGGGCCGTCACGCGCTGACAGCTTTGAATATGTCATGCATGGAAAAATCTACAGGATCGAAGGAGATGACATCAGTGGGGATGGCAGCGGTCGTCTTTCAGCATATGTGTCCTTTGGTGGCCTGTTGATGAGGCTCCAAGGTGATGCTAACAACTTGCATGGGTTTGAACAGGACAACCATATTTACCTGCTCATGAAGAAGCTTGCTTTTTGAAACAATACATCTCATTTTCATGTTCATGCTTGTTTGAGGTTTTAATGGATTATGTGCCATGGGCAGAGAATAGCAGTGAGTATGGCCTGGGGTATCCCTTGACCCACTCTTCAGCTATTGAAAATCTGCATCATGGGTGAATGTGGGGGCTGTTTGGATCCATGCAAGTCTAGCTGCCATACACAACCCATTTTATCCAGGAGCTATCAACATTTTTTCTCAAAGTTACAGCTCTGTATCAATGGAAATATATTAATCTGTCCCCATTTTGTTTCATCATTTTTAAACTAAATGGCTGTGTTGAGGCCCAAAGATTGAGACTACTGGATCATTGTCAGATCTGGGCAACTGAGCACTGCACTTCCTTCAAATAGCTATGTGCAGCACATTCATTTTTGAAGCTTTTATTGGTTGTGTGCCTCTGGTCAACTAAACTTGGAGCATTGCATGGAATTGAATGCACACTATCAAGATCCCAGAAGTGTAAAACATGATTCAATGTCATGAAGGTGAAGGTCCCAGAAGTGTAAAACATGATTCTTTTCTAAATTTTGGAGAAGATGGTAGCACCTTTTTAGAAATGAAAACATGCTTAAGGTCACTTGTTGACGTCTTGAACACAGCACTTTTAACTCCAATTCCTCACCAGTACTTTTTTCCTTCTATTGCACAGCACATCAATTTTCTACCAGCTCAAGCCCCTTAGCTTTGTCCTTGCCCTTGTACCTTGCTGGCTGGTGCAAGGTGCCTTGCAGAGGAGGCACACATCCGAGCATTCTGGATCATGATTGACATTCAACAGCCCTCTGACCACTTTCGTACTTGTTTGACCTTAAACTGACGCACTTAAGCAACAGCCTTCTGACCACTTCCGTACATGTGCGATCTTTAACCGACGCACTTCAACAATTTCAGCTTCAGCAAACTTTCTTGTCGCCGTTTTGAAGAAGATTTTCATTATTTCCACTGCCACCAGCCCACACCGTATTGGGCCAACAACCTCCGAGAGACTTTCAAGAAAGTGGCGCGCGTACCTTAATCAAATGTGCGCCGATGAGCATCAAAGCATCTGCTTAGTCGTTTATATCAATATGTTTGCCTTGGTTAGCCCGTCTTAGTAGGCAGCGCGAGCATTATAGGTGGCGCTCATGGAGACGAGTTGGGCGTGCGGCAGCGCTAGATGGCGCTCGTACCCAGCGCTCTGGGTGGGCAGAGGAACGGGAGGGGCGGAAGGGACCATGGGTCATAGTCCTCACGTTTAAGGTGGGTGGGCTAGTGCTTTTAGCTGTCCCCTCCCCACTTTCAGATGTCATTCGCGTTTGACCTATTCTTGCACTGCCTTCAACACACATATGCATATACCCATTTACCAAGTTCAGCAGCCATCTTCTTCAAACCGCATGTGACACAACTGCTTGATGTGGTAAATGACAGCATCGTATCCTGCCATTTACAGCGAACGGAAACATTCAAGGAAAAACTCCAGGGGATTAGTATAAAGGCTTCGTCCCGTCTTTTTATAACGCCTCCGTTCTGCCTGCTTACAGTCCACTCAGAATAGGTTCGTAAAGTTCAGTGAGGATATGCCATAGGTGTTTGCTGTAGTCCAACGTGTCAGGTAAAAGCCAAGCTTCGGTGGAATCTCAGTGGTTCATGCAACTTTCGCAAAACCATAACTACTCCCTTGCCTGGTTGACACTTGGCTACATGAAATGCCACGAGTTTACGGGCGTTTTTCCGCGGGGAACGCTGTTACGCTATTTACTTGGCCGATGTACTACTGGTAGGCATCTTATGAAACGCTAGAATATCGGTGGCCATTTCAATAAGTGCCTGATCAAACCGAGTGTGGGTTATGTTGTGTTGCCGTGTTATACTGTTGTTTGCGCCAGCGTTAACCACTACACGTCTGGGAAACCAGAGGACGGGTTCGATTACCCGTGGCACCCGCCGTCCCGGCAAGGTGAGAAGCAGGTGACGCCATATAGCCTCAGCAGCTGAGCGCGTGGCAGAGCCTCAATGCCACTATGTTGTTGTTTGACAGAATCGGCGGTAGTGTTCATTGTGTTTTTGCTTTGTAGGATATGATCAACTACAGTAACTCCTCACGCATCAGCCATGTGGTGCTTCCCCATTTGAAATCATGCACGATCGTTCCGCTGCGCTCGAGTATGTGCCGGAACCACGGCAACGAGCAACGATGATCAAAAAGCTATGAGTTTGCGGGAGACATTTCTGAACAGTGTTGTTTTCAAGGTTAGCGGTTTACCAGATGCGCTCGCCAGGCAGGGGCAGAGCATTGCACAACACGCACGATAGGTGCCACCCGGCACGTGCAGTGCGTTTGTCCATATTTCACGATCTTCACGATTTGGTGCCCTGTCAGCAAGTAGACCAGCAAAACGCGAAGCGTGTAAGTCACCCACTAGCAGGGTTTCGAAGAAGTAATTGCTTTCCATTACTGAGTGCTGGTTGCGTTGAGCCACGAAATACATGTCAGTTTTTTCTCGAAAATACGTTAACCTCTTTCTTCTTTTAGTTAAGTCTAAATGGCTTGCAGATATAGAGTTTTGAGATAACCGCTTCGCCCATTTCGTCAGAAAAAAATTAATTGCAACCGTCATCAAATGCACTGACAGTGTCGCACCATATAATCGTAGAGACTGTCGGCTCCCGCCACGTAGCATCCGCCAGGTCAAGTAATCAGTCGCCTCAGGAATTTAACCCCAGGGTCCTACCGCATACTGGAGTTGGAAGTGTGGACTGCTCGGACACGGCTGCGGGAAAGAGCATAGATATAAACATATGATTAATACACGCCAATGTCCGACCACCGGATCGCAGGCTTGCAACAGCTGAAAACCTTAGTAGGGGCCTGACGAGTAAGTGCAATGAGTTCGGTTTTATCAGGCGAAAGCTCAATGAACGGTACTCATTATTTAATTGAACATCAGTCATAAAATGACAATCCAATGCGTCATATGCGCGGTTTAGTCAACCCTTGTTTAGTGCGCTTCATGGAACGTCTAAAGATTGATTCTTGTTGCAAGGCAAATGACGTAAAAATGTTGATTACAGAAGGGGTCCGCTACGTGGTTGGCATTCAGTCAGGCAGCGTATCAATCGTAGAATGATGGGAATCGCATGAGAAGCCCGGTGATATACGAGAGGACAACATATGTAAGAAAAGTGTGAGCCCTCGTCCAACTTACAAATGTGGATGAGGACGGCTACGTTGTAGGAGGGGAAAAACGAATTACCGGTTGACGAATTCATGTCCTATGCAGACAGCTCTCCGCAAGCTATTTTTTCTGCTGTTGTGTGGTGTAGGCGACGATTATTCGGAAACACGTCCTGTAGCATGCGTCTGACCTGCTTTACACACCCGACAAGCTGTGATGCTGATGCATGAACATGCACCAGTTATGCGATTGGTTCGAAGTCAGTAATGAGGGGTGCAGTCGATCCAGGGTAGCGGTCGCCGACGGTGGAGGCAATTGCTGTTCAGGTTTTCGTTGATAAAAAGCTGTTCGTTTACTGCTCTTCCCGCCCAAAAGTATCATCACATCCCTGTCAGTCCGTGATTTACATAGGTAAAAAGTTTATTGCAAGTCGCATGTCACATTGGCCTGCTGCCGGTGCATATCAAGCATTTTCAATCTTCCAGCAAGCGAACTGTCCAACACACAGCATCCCTGTCAGTCCGTGATTCGTATTGGTAAATAGTTTATTGCAAATTGCAGCCCACATTGGCCTGCTGCCGATGCATATCAAACATTCTGCCATCTACCAGCAAGCAAACTGTCGAATACACAGTCACGTTTGGCACGAAGCTATAGTATATTGTACAGCTTTGGCTTTGGTTGAAAACCTCAGAACAGTAAAAACATCACCAGACATGTGTTTCTCTATCGGAAGTTTTGGCATGATACGTGCCTGAAAAACAGAAGCGTCTGTACATGTAAAAAACTACGACCTACGAGAACCTGAGCGAAGAGCTGGTACTGCGCCAGTTTTAAACGTCACCCAAACGCATTCCTGGTGTACACTTTGAAGACAACACACTATTTTATATCAATGGCCACGCACAGACGTCCGAATGAGAAACCACGGCCTCCAGCTACACGAAGGCCACGGTCCACCTCCACGCCAGTGACGTCATGCCCGTCACAGACGCGGCCAACAGTCAGCACGGGCATTTGGCACAGGCCTTTGACACCACCCCCGAGGGTGACGTCCAAGTGAGAGCGTGGACACGTTAAGCCGTGTACGCAGAATCTGCTGGCCAGTGCCGACGTGTCCACATTTGGCAGCTGATACCTTCGAGATAGCAAGGCACAGCCATCGGTCATTGTTCAGGCGAACAGATGAATACAGCGATATATATATATATATATATATATATATATATATATATATATATATATATGTGTGTATATATATATATATATATATATATATATATATATATATATATAGTGTATATATGTGTGCAGTCTTCGCTGGTAGGCTGTACCGTCACGGAGACGAAAGAGCGTTTGACGCAACTCCTGGAGACGTCTCACAGACGACAATCTGAAACATAAATTTCCCGGAAACATTCCGGCTGATAGGTGATCGGGACGTGCCGAAACATGTTTCGTGTATGGCAGACGTTTAGTGGCTTTCACCTTTGTTATATCTGCGGAAACAGTACTATGGTCAAGCGCAGTGAAGAGCTGTCAAGGTACATTTTAAAGAAGCTTTCATGGTTATGACATAACACATGGTAAATTGACCACACCGCGCCTAACAGCCTCAAAGCGATGTAGTTCTCGTGGAACTTAAGCTGAACAGTTGAATGTTTTGCGTGATTTCTGGGTACGTATCACACACGTGGGTATTGCCTATCATCAGGATATCTAGCAGTTGAATATTGGGCAACGAAATACAACAACGTCCTCCAGCAACGTCATGGTGCAGGAGTTGTTCATCATCACCACTCTTCACTGGACCAGCGGTGGCAGGATCAACTGGTATGCGGTCGGCCAGGTCCGTTCCTGGACCGTGCTTCCACTGCACCAGCCTACGTTTGCGTGAGCTGCACTGCTGAAAATATTCCACACGAAGTAAGAGTTCACTGTAAGAGTAACTGCGCGATGAAAAATTAGACACACAAGCTGGCCACACCCATGTGAGCGATGCTGACCAAGACCCACTCACATGTTATACCAGCCAACACAGCGCACGCACCGTCTCACTCACTCATTCATATTTCAGTCATTCATGGATGTGTGCATGCAGGAACATACAGGTACATTTGTCGAGGAAGACATTTATGAAACACTAGAGTCTAAGGAATAAAGGAATCGGTCATCGAATGATAGACTGGCAACAGAGTACACACGACGGCAGCGTATTTTCCTGATGCTTTCACATAAAAAAGATGTGCAAGGGCGAGATGTGTCACACTATGGTCTGGGGTAAAATGAGTCTTATTTCTTAACCACAAGCTTTTTGGATCATTTACGCGAGCTCAGCGGAACAAAAATGCCATAAACGACCTCGTGTATGCCTGAATCAGGAATAGCTCGCTGTCCAATTCCATTTTATCGTGAAAGTTTAACATAAACTCCATCGTGATACAGGGAAGGAATCGACTTCGCAATCCGGTTTGCCCCGACCCACATCCACTTTTTAATGTCAAACCTGACCTCAGTCTAGCTCGTTCCACCCCAGCCTATGATGGCGATGAGCTCACCGCAGGGGTCCAGCTCTTCGGGCGCCCATCGGAAGTCCACGCACTCCACCGTCTGCTGCCGCCCGCTCTCCACGCAGGTGTAGTTGACACGTGCGCCCGGGAACCGGCCGCCGCCCCAGCTGATGTTGCGCGCCTCCGTGTCGTTGGGCGGCCGCGGAATGTCGCCCAGGCAGGCGGCTAGCGGACGGGCGAGCGTGAGGCTTTCGTAAGGGGAGCCACGCATCGGCCCAAAGGCTCGGACTCACACGCACACCCCAGACAACAGAGGGAAGGACACTCACAGCTCGATTAACACCTCGATCAACGGACGTGCCCGTTAATCGAGCTGCGGCTCTCACATAAAACTGTGCCCCAAAGCTCAAGTCATCATCATCATCATCATCACCGCACAAAACTGTGTGGTGTGGCGACCAGTCTTGCCGACAGTGCTGAGTATCGTGACCACGGAACGATCCCCTGACGGCGGGAGGAGCAGACCGATGTCACTTCGGGTGCTGAAACCAGCCCGCACCAGCCCGCAGACTCGCCGGGCGGATGACACCGCTCGGCAGACCACTGGACCGAGTCCCGACAGACCACCGGACCTAGTCCCGACAGACCACCGGACCTAGTCCCAACAGACCATCGGACCGAGTCCCGACAGATGACCGGACCTAGTCCCGACAGACCATTGGACCGAGTCCCAACAGACCGCCAGAATGAGTCCCGACAGACCCCCGGACCTAGTCCCGACAGACCACAGGACTGAGCCCCGACAGACCGCCGGATCGAGTTCCGACGGATCGCCGGACCGAGTCCCGACAGACCGCCAGAATGAGTCCAGACAGACCGCCAGACCTAGCCCCGGCAGACCATCGGACCGAGTCCCGACGGATCACCGGACCGGGTCCCGTCAGACCATGGCACGTACCGCAGTGCTGGATGGCGCCGTCCCAGCCGTCGGCACGGCAGGCCAGTGTCTGATTGCTGCTGTTGGTGGCGGGCACGACCGTGCCGTCGCCGCAGCTGTACGTCACAACGCTGCCGATCGGCGCCACAGTCAGACTGGCGTTCCAGTCGCTCCGCTGGGTGCTGTGCAGCGGGTCGGGCGGCGCCAGACAGTCTGCCGGGGTGGTTACTGCCGTCAGTGCTCACTGACGTGCGGTGATCCTGCTCCAATCATGTCAACGGCGGGTCACACGCACGTGGTGGTGTCAGTTTCCCGCTGCCTGCTCATGGTCAGGGGGAAACACTATTCTCCTTGGGACCACCGACGGGTACAGGGAAGTACCAATGACCTCATACCTCTCACGGTCACACTGCGGTGCTAGCGCGCCATTTCTCGTTCACGGTCACAGGGAGGCGTCAGTCCTCCAGCGCCCACTTACAATCGCAGCGCGGTACCCTTCCCCGCCCACCCACGGTCACACGGCGATACTAGTCCAACCCGCCCACCCACTGTAACAAGGCGACACCACTCGGCCACCCGCCTGGCCCACCCACTCACGGTCGCACGGTAACGCCGCGCCAAACCAGCCGTCCTCCGTGCAGGTGACGGTCTGGGCCGCGGAGCCATCCGAGGTCACCAGTCCCTCGGCGCACTGGTACACGGCCGCCTCGCCCAGCGTGCCGTTCTCACTCCAGGTGCGGTTCTGGCCGGTGCCCGGCTCCGGTGGGTCGCCAGAGCACGCTGGGGACGAACCAGGCGCGGGCAGGTGCTGCGGGCTGGGGTGGGTCCCGTCACAAGTGCCCCGCACCAATGCGTCGCTGCGGACAAAGGCTCGTGTTTGCCCGTGAGACTCGTGGGCCAGACTGAGTCTGAGCAGGTCCAAGCGCGACTTCCCAAGCGGAGCTCGGCTGATATCAAGTGCCCTCCCCCACCACCCTCGATGCGCGTTGAGACAATTTCAGTGCGCGTCGGTGCGCCCCTTCATGTGTGCAGCGTTCCTTTAAAAAAGAGGCGCCAAAGGCATCCCATCCAGAGCGCCAGGGCTGGTGGGCACCGGCTCACTGTCGCAGGCGAGGACGGGTCCGCCGGCCCAGCCGGTCTCGGTGCAGGTGAGCTCCTGCGAGCTCAGCTCCGTGGCAGTCGTCAGCGCGTCGCTGCTGCAGTTGAAGACGGCCTTGCCACCCCGCTGGACGTCCATCGCCACGGTCACCACGCCGTCTACAGAGATGTCGGGGTCGCGACAGGCTGCGAAAGGGAGCAGGGTCAGCCGCTGGCCGAGGGTCGTCCGGCTCAGGAACGGAGGCGTCACGTGCCGATGGTGCGTGCAGGTGGTCTCCTGCCGGAAGTGAAAGATAATGGGTCGAAGCGACTCGGAGGTGATGCTCGGTGGTCTGTGACCGTAGTTCGGATGAATGCAGTCGCGAATGTGCAATGACGCAGTCTGGTGACTTCATCTGCACACAAAACCAATTGCTGGCTTGTGCTACTTACCACTGCACTCGGGAACGCACGTGTCCCACCCGATGACAGAGCAGGGCAGAACGTACGAAGTCAAGTTCCATGGCAGCTGGAACGCGTCCAGACACTCGTACGTGACCTCGTCCACGCCCTGCGTCCAGGAGATGTTCTTCATGGAAGCGGCCGGCGCCGGAGGCTCCTCTGTGCACACTGAGGCGGACGAAGCGTCCATCACTCAGCGGTCCCCGGCGGGCTCCCTCGCGCAGGTCTGTTCGTCCGTGCTGCACCCTGAGCCGGTCCGGAGCCCCGGCGACGCGAGCCGGGCTCCGGCCCGAACGCCGCCCCACCGGCGAGTCGCCGACACTCGTGCCGGCGACGAATTCGGACGGCGCGGAGCGGAATACCCAGGACATCACCCTCAGCATATACGAGCCAACGTCATCCTCAGCACGTGCAAGCCTGCGTCACCCTCAGCACGTGCGAGCCTGCGTCACTTTCAGCACGTGACGTGCGAGCCTGTGCCACCCCCAGCACGTGCGAGCCTGCGTCACCCTCAGCACGTACGAGCCTGCGTCACCCTCAGCACGTGTGAGCCTGTTTCACCCTCAGCACGTGCGAGCCTGTGTCATCGTTAACTTGTACGAGCCTCCGTCACGCTCAGCATCTACGAGCCTGTGTCACCCTTAGCACGTACGAACTTGCGTCACCCTCAGCACGCTCGAGCCTGCGTTACCCTCAGCACCTACGAGCCTGCGTTACCCTCTGCACGTACGAGCCTGCGTCACCCTCGGCACGTGCGAGCCTGTGTCACCCTCTGCACGTACAAGCCTGGGTCGAGGCCGACTCACCAGAGCAGGCCCGCAGACCCGTCACGTTCCAACCGCCCACGCCGCACACGGTGGTCTGCTCAGTCCGCAGCGTGTCCGGCGTCGCCATGCCCGCGTTACAGGTCAGCGTGACCACCGTGTCGAGCGTGTTCGTGCCATTGTAGTCCCACGTCAGCGTGCCGCCCCACGTGCTGATGGGCGCCAGCGGCGCGCAGTCTGCCGGCGAGGCGGACGGTCAGCGGGGGGGGGGGGGGGGGACGCGGCGGCACGGCGGCGGGGCCGGCACGCCGCGCCACCGCAGTCGGGCTCACCGGGTAATGGTGACGTCACGAATGGTAAGGGGAAGGATGTCGATGTTAGAACACGGACGTGGCGGCTCTGGCTAACTGGATCATCGT